AACAGGCTGTGATAGTTAGTGTAATAACCTTGCCTAGAGATCAAACTGTTACAGGGAATGATCGAGCCAAGACCTAGTTGTTGGAAAAATATAATAATAATATCGTCAAGCATGACGGGATTTTAAGCACGAGGTGGCCCGAAGCACGACGGGATAAGAAGCATGAGGTGGCAAGGTGCTTTCAAACTTGATATTTTTACAAAAATATAAAAGTTTGCGGAAGTACGACACAGCTGCTCGGGATTGATGTGCTTGGATACCGCAAGCACGACAAATCCCGTAAGCACGAGGTGTCACGATCTCGTGTGACGAGTCATCAAAAGCATGACAAATATCGTAAGCACGAGGTATCGCGATCTTAAGTGACGACATCGAAAGTACGACAAATCCACAAGCACGATAAATTCGAGGTGTTGCGACCGTGTGCAACGACTCATCGGGAAGCACGACACATACAAGCTGACCGTCCTCCTATGCCTACTTGCTTCCCTAATCCTATAAATAGGACCTAAGTAACTCCCATTTTCTTCATAGTTTTCGTTCCAAACCTCTCACAAAATCAGTATAGAAAATCCGATATTTTCTGCGTTCGTGATCTAGTTCAAGCGTATTCGTGAACCACCATATCAGCAAGGTCTTTGGTTGAAAGTCTAGCCTAAGTTCTGTCCGTTTTCGTGAAGGAAATAGCCAAAGAACTAGGTCCGATCTAGAGCATAAGTCCGAATCTAAGAATAAGGTGAGTCTTGATGATGTTTGTCGTGTCCTAGATGAGTAGGGCATATGTTGCTTGTTTATTGTTATGCTTTGTGGTCGTAGAGGTTCTTGCTAGAATTCTAGGAATTTAGTTCAGTGTTCTCTTTGATTGTTTGTGCATTATGTTTGATCGTGTGATTGCATGCTGCATGAGTCATGGGATGGTTATGTTTTGTATTTGTCGCTAACCTTTGTGGATGCTGGATTTCAAGAGGAAGTTGATTTGCATGTGATCTAATTAGATACATGCGGGTTTAAGGTAAATTTTTATGTGTGGAGTTAGGTTATTACAAGTGATCAAGAGGATCATGTAATATCCTAACGTGCTAACATTCTAACCTCCTAACAGTAGAGGGTGGTTGACACTTCCTATCGGGAGTCACGGAGGGACGGAATTGCAGCCTTTGGCCGTGACTTTGRCGAGTAATRCARGGAYYGACGGYATTGCAGCCTTYGGCCGTGMATTACAGTCGGATCACTGGTCTTTTAGCCTTTGTGGTTAGGACCGAGTGGGGTAAAAGGGACAATGGAAGGAAGTTGTCAATTTGCTGTATAGGTTTGGCCATCTAACATCTAATATCTAACATGTTACGTTTCAAAGAGGACTGCAATTAGAGGTCCTCTAATTGTGTTGTATTTGATTTATCTTTTCCGCATATGCATTCTCTGATTGATTGTGTG